CCTTATGTTTTTACATTGCTTAATATTTGTGGTTTTAATGCAAATAATTATATTAATCTAGGTCTGGTTTGAATAGTGCTAAACTGATTTTGACTCTAGTACAATTATTGATTGTACAAGGAAACTTGAGCAACTCACTCAAAGCGGAACTCACTTGTAGTGCTCCGCACACCATGTGTTTGATAAATTGTCTGAACTAAAAGCCTTGTGTGTTGTCCATTTATTGTGTTAATATTTTAAGGCATTGGAACTAGTCATACAACATAGTGAGCTAAATCAAATTGATAATGTGACTAACGTAGTGATTCTCGTATCTCGTTATCGGATTCCATAGGCTTGACGCATATCTGGTTTTCTAGTAACCGTTTGTTATAGACGATATAGTTCCTCGGCCGCTTATGCAAATCAAACAATTTTTAAAAACCAATTTTATTGGTAAGCAAGCGATCTATTCAACCCCCCCTTCTAGATCTGCGCCATCGCCTAACATGAAAGACTTGGTACAGTTTGCCTATAATAAACCACATATTCTTCGAAAGTAGAAATGAGATTTTTGATGTTTGAAATTTTACTTTTGCAAAAGATGAATACAACATCAGTGTAAAAAAATGTGGGAATGCATTGTAATCTTCCTCGACCCAAAAATTAACTCCATATTTTTAGAAGAGACTAATTAAAGAACCTTCCTGCTAAGCACATCTTCAGCTAGATAAAACATGAGCGGAGAGAGCAAATCGTCTTGACGGATGTCATAAGAGCAATTGAAATAATCGTGTAGAACTCCACTAATATTAATGGATAAATGTGTCGATTGAAGAATGTTGCTAATCCATAGGCAGAACTTGTTAAAACTGAACTTTTGAAGAATTTTCAGCATATATATATATATATATATATATATATATATATATATATATATATATATATATATATATATATATATATATATATATATATATATATATATATATATATATATATATATATATATATATATATATATATATATATATATATATATATATATTATAATTAACTGACAGTGTAAAATTATTTTACAATGTCAGTACATTTGAATTAAAAGATAATATTATTTATTAAAAAAATGGTGTAATGTAGAGTTTGTTGTCTTCAACATAGATTTTCAAGCATTTTCGGTATACGAAAATGTTGGAAATTCACCTCACACCCTATGAAGAATTCCCTTCAATCTTGATCTCAAGATTGATGAACAAACCCACAATATGATAATGATGGTAATAACAAGTAATTATCAAGAACAACAAAAGAGAAGAAGAATAACAAACAAGAAAGAGAAGAATGAGAGAAGAAGTATTTGGAGAGAATGTGTTACCCACAACTGTGGGATTTCTTATTGAACTTTCACTTGCTAACTGCAACTGTGAAATCTGTTCTGTTGTGATGTAGAATACAAAGCAAGGCACCCTATTTATAGTTTTAGGTTTACACTAGCCCAAAACATAAAAGGCCCAAAATATTCTAAATCAAATCTAATCATATGATATCAAATCTAATCATATGATATTTAATCATATCATATCAAATTAATCATATGATATCAAATCTAATCATATCAAATCACAATGAATTATATTTAACACACCACCTAATCCATTGTGTCTAAACTGTCTACATTCATCATGGCCCTTAGTCTTCTGAAGGCTTCGACCTGCACTCCCTTCGTCATGATATCTGCAATCTGAATCTCAGTTCTGCAGTGTTCCAACTTCATCTTCCCTTCTGCTACCCGCTCTTGGAGATAATGGAACCTCATTTCGATGTGCTTGCTTCGACCATGAGCTATTGGATTCTTTGCCAAGTTGATAGCTGACATGCTGTCTATCTTCATGGTAATTGCGCCATGGTTCTTCCCTATGATTTCTTCGACCAAGTTCACCATCCAAGTTGCTTGACATGCACAAAGGGAAGCAACTATATATTCTTCTTCGCATGATGATAATGCCACCACTGGTTACTTTCTCGAATTCCAAGCAACTAGTGCACCACCTAACATAAACACATATCCAGCTGTGGATTTTCGATCCTCAGCATCACTACACCAACTGGAGTCTGTGTATCCCACTAACTTGCATTCTTTTCCTTCATCAACTGCTGGAAACAAAATGCCATAGTCGAGAGTTCCTTTCAGATACCTCAGTATCCTCTTCGCCGCTGCTAGGTGTGATACCTTTGGTTTCTGCATGAATCTACTTATCATACCAACACTGTATGCTAAGTTAGGTCTTGTGTGACAAAGGTATCTAAGTGACCCAATAAGTCTTCTGTATTGGGTTGGGTCGACATCATCTTCATATGAATCCTTCAACAGTTGTAATCTGGGCTCAGCTGCATTGAGTGGTTTGATGGACTCCAACTCTTCAATCATTGCTTTCATCCACTTTGAATCTTTCAATGTCTCAGTTGTATTGACTGGTTCGACATCTGCGTAGAAAGCATAACGTACCAGCTCACCCTCTTCATCGACTACATCATCTGATGTGATTACACATTCTTGCAACCTTGCAGGCATGTGTCTAGTTCGTCGAGGTCTGCTTGAACCTGCTTCATCTGCAACTGGTTCTTGTCGAACTTCTATTTCGACTTCAGTGGCTGCAGTTGCTAGACATCTGTGCTCCATCACATTGAGTCCAATCTTGAAGGTCCTATTCTGAGACATTGGAGCCTTCAAGATTAGTCTACCACCTGCGTCGAGAACTCTCATCATCTTGTCTTCGACAACTACCTTGTAGTTCTTTTCGACAAACTGCCCTATGCTGAGCAAATTACTCTTCATGCCTGGTATGTACAACACATTGGAAATTGTTGACCTCTTGCCATCTTTCCTCATAATCAGAACATCACCAATACCTTCGGCTGCTAGAGTGTTGTCATTTGCAAACTTCACAGTGTTCTTCGACGATGGCTTCATGTTGACAAACCAATCTTTCCTTTCAGTCATGTGTGATGAGCATCCTGAGTCCAAGTACTACTGATCTTGGAATCTTTCTTCATCTTTTGTTGTGACCATTAGCAACGTTTCTTCTTCTTCATGTTTCGCCAGCTTTGCATCAGTCTTTTGATTTCTCTTCCTTTCTGGACAATCACTAGCATAATGACCATACTTCTGGCAATTGAAACACTGAATGTGGCTTTTGTCTGGCTTTCGACTACCACCTCTTCCTTTACCTGTAGCATCACCTCTTTGTTTGCCTTGGTTCCAAGGTTTCTTCTGATTCGATTGGTTTCCTCCTTTGTTGCCATTCCAGTTACCTTTGCCTTTTCTTTCCTTTTCTGACTGCGCCTGCAAAGCCATATCTTTCGACTTTCCTGCAGCTCTCTCAGCCATCCTCTGTTCATGAGACTCAAGAGTCCCTTGAAGCTCTTCCTTCGTCAACACTGACAAATCTTTCGACTCTTCTATGGCAACTACCACGTGGTCGAATTTTGGAGCCAACGATCTCAAAATCTTTGAGACAACTGTTTTCGTCGTCAGCGTTTCTCCACATACTTTGATTTGATTCACCAACCTTGTAACTCTAGTGAAGAAATCTGTAATGCTTTCGTTGTCTTCCATCTGAAGCAACTCATAGGTTCTCTTGTGAGTTTGTAACCTCACCTCTTTCACCTTCTCTGCGCCTCCAAATGACTTTTCAAGAATCTCCCATGCTTCTTTTGCTGAATCAACATCACTAACCTTTTCAAAGTTATCAGGATCAACACACTGATGAATTATAAAGAGTGCTTTATAATCCTTCTTCTTCAATTCTTTGTGCGCAGCCTTTTCCGCCTCCGTTGCGTTCTCCCCAAGCGATGTTACTCCATCCTTCACAAGATCCCAAAGATCTTGATAACAGAAAATCACCTTAATCTCCTTGCACCAATTCTCATAATTGTCTTTCTTGAGAATTGGCAAGGTCGCCGGAAAGTTTCCGTTCGGATGATTCATCGCCATCACTATCTTCCTTCCTTGAATCTCTCAGCCGGAGCTCTAGATACCAGATGTTGGAAATTCACCTCACACCCTATGAAGAATTCCCTTCAATCTTGATCTCAAGATTGATGGATAAACCCACAATATGATAATGATGGTAATAACAAGTAATTATCAAGAACAACAAAAGAGGAAGAATAACAAACAAGAAAGAGAAGAATGAAAGAAGAAGTATTTGGAGAGAATGTGTTACCCACAACTGTGGGATTTCTTATTGAACTTTCACTTGCTAACTGCAACTGTGAAATTTGTTCTGTTGTGATGTAGAATACAAAGCAAGACACCCTATTTATATTTTTAGATTTACACTAGCCCAAAACATAAAAGGCCCAAAATATTCTAAATCAAATCTAATCATATAATATCTAATCATATCATATCAAATTAATCATATGATATCAAATCTAATCATATCAAATCACAATGAATTATATTTAACAGAAAATTGTGCAAGACATGATGAATATATTAGATCCAGACCCTTTTGATTTTATAGTTTATCTTTAAATTTTCATAAAAATAAATAAACTTGTACATTAGAGTACATAATAACTTATACTCAATTCAATGGAGACTATCTTCTGCTTGAAATATATTACTAGCGGTACAATTTAAATTTTATATTACTTTAAATATGTTTACAGTAACACACTCATAACTTCATTTTGTTTTAAAATTTTTTCGTAAGTTATATTATTTTTAATGCTTAAATTTATGTCATGTATTCGACATACGTCTGAAACAAATAAATGATTTTACATAAATTTTCTTATTGTAATTCTAAAATTAAGACATTTCCTTATTAAGATGAAAAATGATGCAAAAACATCGGGATGCCTTGAGATTTTCGTGACCGGTAAAAACAGCTAAATAGATGGAGACTAATATTCGAAGAAAAAAAAACGTTAGAAAAAATAAAAATGAATAAGGAAGATTTTGATCCATACTAGAAATTGGATGAACAAACAAAATAGAAAACAATACATGGATGGAGAAATTGTGGAGCTTCTCGTCAAGATCCAGTAGTAGTATTGTTGAAACCGACAGGCTACCATGGGAAGAAGAAGAACATGAAGACAATCTCCATGACCAATTAGATCATACCATCCCTCTCTCACAAGTTTTACAAGATGTCGATTCTTTTCTCAATACCGCAACAACTCCAGCTTCGGATGAACTTCCCGATTGTGTTCCTGTGTTGCACAAATTGTTGGAATCTATGATAGATAAATACAATAAACAAGCAAGAGGGACAACAAGAATTAACTTTGGGCGAGATCCAGAGAATGATAAGTCTTTTCTAGATGCGATCGAACGCGTCTTCAAGCTCTCTATCACCTCCAGTTTGAGTCATCCCTGTTTAGATAAAGCAATGTTTATTTTAGAAAGTGATATTTGTTCTCTTCTGCAACGCCCCAAATCCAAAATATACAGATCAACATCAACACCAACACCGCCGCCTAGGAAATCCGCCTCCTCTGGTTCCCTTCAGCTGCATTTTCAACTTCAAGACGACAGGGATTCCTTAAGGGATGACGACGATGACGACGACGACGGTGACTTATTGCCTAATTTCTCATTACAGGAAATTTCCATTCTGAATAATATTACCACTTCCATGATTACTGCAGGCTATCAGATAGAGTGTTGCATGGCCTTTACCGTTTTCAGGAGAAACTCTTTCAAAAATGTGTTGCAAAAATTGGGTTACGCGTTTCCAAGGATGGAGGAGATTTATAAAATGAAATGGGAGTTGCTGGAAGGACAGATTGTCACGTGGAACAAAGTGTTTCGGCATTGCACCAATGTACTCTTCAAGACCGAAAGAAAGTTATACGATACAATATTCTCAAACCAACCTTCTCTGTCTCGGACCATGTTTGGGGATCTCGTTCGAAATGTCATCTTCCATTTTCTGAATTTTGCACAAGCAGTGGTTTTAACCAAGCCATCGCCGGAGAAACTGTTCAAATTCCTAGACATGTATGATACCTTGAGAGATGAACTGGACCCCATCATTGTACTCATGAAAGAGGACGGTTTAGAGCGATGTGTAGAGGATTTGACTTACGAGACGTCCGCAACAAAGCACGGGATCGTAAATGTTGTTGTGGCAATGTTCTATGATTTGGAAAACTCCATTAAGGGTGATAATCATAGAATTCCTGTCCCCTATGGTGCCATTCATCCATTGACTCGATATGTCATGAATTATCTTAAATATGCATGTGAATACAAACCGACGTTAGAGCAGATATTTTCGGAATATTTTAAGGATCAATGTGTTGCTACTAGTCAACAAGAATTGGATGGGACTGCGGCGAAATCACCTTTTGTGGTTCAATTGATGAGAATTATGGATCTTTTAGATGAAAATACGGAAAGGAAATCCAAGTTATATAGGGATATGGCTTTGCGTTGTATATTTCTAATGAACAACGGGAGATACGTAGTGCAGAAGATAAAAGGGTGCATAGAGCTTCACGAGTCGATGGGAGATAATTGGTGTAGGAGGAGGCAAACAAGTCTGAAGATGCACCATAAGAGTTATCAAAGAGAGACTTGGAGTAACGTGCTCAAGTGCCTTAACCCGGACGGGCTTCACCAGCAAGGAAACAAGGTGTCTAGGCAGGTTTTGAGAGACAGGTTTAAGTGTTTTAATTCCATGTTTGAAGAGATACACAAGACACAGAGCCATTGGATGGTGAGTGATGAACAACTTCAATCCGAGTTGAAGGTTTCTATCTCTGCTGTGGTCATACCCGCATATCGCTCCTTTTTGGGAAGATTTAAACATTATCTAGATTCTACTAAACATGTTGATAAGTATATTAAGTATGCTCCCGACGACATAGAAATTTTGATTGATGATTTTTTTGTAGGAAATGCCACATCCCTGACTCGAAAGAAGACATGAATGTCATCACACTTTATATAAGCCAAACATTTAACATTCTTTCTTTTTCACTAAGCACACCAAAATTAAATTAAATATAATATACTCTTTTTTTTATACCTAAATTATAATTAAGGTTTAGTAAAAAAATTTCCACAATAAACCTCAATTTTGTTTGCAATACTTAGGAGAGAACAACAATCTACACTGATAGATTTAAAAAAATTAATGTTAGATTTCAACATTATCGTATGAAAACAACAATCTACATTCTAAGTTGGGGACTTTTGTGGTTGAGTCTTGTTGTTTGTTATAGTTATGTAAAGCTTTTTTCTTTAGATATGATTCATATACATGAACGCCATTCCTTGTTATTTTTTTATCACATATATCTTTTGAGTTTTCTCTTCACTCAATTCTCTATTGTATCATATTTTCAAGGGGTATCAATACAATATTGATAATAAAGTTAAGTTTTTATACAAAAGTGGTGACATCAAGAGATTTATAAGTGTGACTGAAAGTCGCTCTTTTTTTTTAAACTATTTAAAAAAAAAACACATTTTCATCTTATTAATCTATTTATGAACTTTTGCACAAATCAAATGCTTTGAAAATATTGCAACAATATGATGAAAGACAATAAGAATGATGTATACCAATGCAAGAAGAACATCTATATAATCCTGTAATATATTTGTAGGTCATTTACATGTAACTATTGTCTTCTGAGTTTTCTATCATGTGGTATGTTTTTTTTTTAATTTATGAAAAACTAAATTTATTGAAGAGTCAGAGGAAAAGAAGATACAACAAAAGGGGATGAAAATGGGCAAACACCTAATCAAGTCCTATCCCCTCTATCTTTATCAATCCTTACAAGATTATGAACAATAAAATTTAAGGTTGTGTTTGGATTAATGAAACATAACGGAGCGGGGCAGAGCAGTACATAGCGGAGCGGAATGGAATATAGATCCAACTCCATTGTTTGGTTATTTTATTAAAAATATTTTATTTCATTACATAACCTCCAAATTGGATGAAACAAAAAATGGGGATTTGGATGGAATGGGATGGAATGGATTCCATCATGTTCCATTCCATTTCATCCATTATTTGTAAATTCAAACAGTGGAATCACATTAGTTACCACTCCACTTTATTCCATCCCATCCCATACCACCTGTTCTGGACTGCGCCGGGACCTGCCCCTCAACTGAAGATGCTCAACCTAGTGCTATGTTGATGAGGCCCAACAATGCCCAATTTCCTCTGTCAAGCACAAGCTTCAACAAGGCACGCTAGTCAGGCAGAAGACTCTCTTGACATGGAAGCCCACGCGCTTCTCCCACGTTCTCCACGTGTCCCCCATGCAAGGACACGTCATCAGGCAGCTACCCACTTCCAAAAGAGATGGTCAGCCCACCTTCCAAAGATCACGGGGTACTTGATCCAGGGCGAAGACCACATACTAATCTTCACTACTAGGGATCAATCTCCCCCTTGCTGTTACCCGTTAGGAGTGACAAAGACATCCAACGCTCGCCGCTATGTATGTCCATCAGGGAGGCTCCACTACCCGTTGGAATGGAGAAACCCCCGTCCTTGGCAATATACGATTGCACAACCGACCAGGACGACCACATCGAAAGCATCAACGCGATGCTCGATTATCGAAATGTTCGGGGATCCATCAAGTGTAGGCTATTCTCCACTACCTTGAGGAAGGGCGTCATGGTGTGGTACAAACGCCTCACGCCCGAATCCATCACCTCTTGGGGCAAACTGAAGAGGCAGTTCTCCAGGAACTTCACGGTCTCCCGACGCCACCCAAAGACAGAGGCAGCCCTGTAAGCCATTATCCAGGGGAAGAACGAACCTCTCTGAGATTACATAGAGAGGTTCAACCGAGAGGCCGTCCAGGTGTCCACCACGGACATGAAGAAATATCTGATCTAGAGAGGCATAAGACCTCACTCTGACGTCGCCAAGGCTGTTGGGATCGAACGTCCTTACACCTTGCATGCCCTTCTCCACAGAGCCCAATCATACATCGAGCACGAGGATATAGAAGCCGCGAACACCACAAGGGACACGCGGAACCAGGAGGGGTTCAGGGGCGTCAGGCATGAGGAGACTGCTCCTCCACGACGAAGCGGGGAAAGAAGACGTGAAGACTGACCCTACGAGCAGAGGGGACCCACTGACCGGTTCACTGAATACACGCTGCTCACAGCTCCCGGCGAGTGCATCCTGTCCGAATGCATCAATTCAGAGTTTCAGAGGGGCGGTGTCCACTTCCCAAAACCGACCCCCCCCCCCCCCCCCCGAAGCCCAAAAATGACAAATCCAAATACTGTCGGTTCCACCGAAGTCATGGACACGTCACAGAGGACTGCATCCACCTCAAGAATGCAATCGATATCTTAATCAAGGAAGGGCACCTGAAATAGGACACTCGACGAGGTGAAGCTCCCCGACAGGAGGCCCGCGAAGCCAAGAGGTTCGAGGAAGTGTCTCCTCCCTCCAACAAAGCGGGACTAAAAGTCGCCCTATCTATCTCCTGACCAGAAGATTTTCTCCTTTTTAGCGATCCCGACCGTTGTCCGCCCTCAGTCCGTGGGAGGATTTCCCAGCCACTCTGGTAATATTCGGCGGGGGCCCAACAAGCTATCAGTAGGGTCAGTCAAGAGGAAATTCGAGGAACATCGACAAGAGCTCGAAGACGAATGCTACCTGTTGCACCTCAAAAAATCAATAATATTTCGAAAACACGACCCTCGCGCTAAAGGCGCAGAAATGCGATTCGACAGAGTCGCCACCGAATATTGTTTATCCCAAAAAGGTGGGAAAGGAAGATATCGGGAAATCATTTTAAAGGAAAGATAAGAACACGGTCGTCGCAACCATATTCCGGGTTCGGGAGTCGGTTACGCGAGGGAAAGATATTAACACCCCTCGCGTCCATTGTACCCAACGGGAACCTCTTAGTACGATTTGCGGTCGACGTTATCTAAGCTTAATTGTTTTCTTCTCAATGATAAATGTTAAACAGTAAGGCAAATGGATAGCGATGCTAAGGGAAAGTGGGTGGTTTTAGAATAGGGTGCTCGCCAAGGATTGGGACCCTTGTGCCTATGTATGCTTATTTGGACGAGAATGAGAAATCAGAGCTTTGTAGTTCGACTATGGGAAAGATAAAGGATAAATGGAAGAAGGATAGAAGGTAGACGGAATGATGGAGAAAGATGGAAGTGTGGAAATAACTAAAAGAAGAAAAGGTAGCTCACCAAGATCATCGCAATATTGTACCTACATACCTTGCATTCAGACAAGAATGAAGAATCAGAGTGTCCGTAGTTTGTAGAGACGGCCACAAAAAGAGAGGGGTTGAATTGAGTTGAAAGTTTGGTAAAGATTGACTTGGAAACGAAAGATTGAATGACAAACAACCCAAAAGGAGTGCCTCGAGAGCTGTCACTCAAGCAAGCTTTCGAGAGAGGGTTGAACATTTTGAGTTGATTAGAAAGGTTTCGAGAGAGGGTTGAATGTTTTGAAGTCGAAAGATTGAATGAACAACAATCCAAGGGGGCGTGCCTCGAGAACTATTCATTCAAAGGTTCAAGGAATTCTAGACCCGAAGAATCTCCTTCTTTCATAAGTTGATTACGAAAATGTTTGAATAGAGATTAGGTGTTTTGAGATGAAAGGTTGAATGAATGACAACCCAAAGCGTGCGCCTTAAGATCCATTCATTCGAAGATCTAAGGAATGCTAGACTCCAAGAATCTTCTTCTTTCGTTATTTGTTTAAGAAAAATCATTTGAAAACAATTGAATCAAATTAGTTGCGAAAAGAGGTGGATTGCAAGGCATAAGGCATTCGACTTATAACATAACTAAAATACCGCTTGACGTTGGATCAAGGGTTTGATTTTATTTGGATGCAAAGATGTGTTGGTTGAAAGAAGGTTGATTTGAAAATGGAACCGGCTCGACAACGAATCGAGGGTTTGGTTGTGAGAAACAATAGTAGTTCCTGAGGGTGCTCCTAATAACGAAACCACGATGAATGTGCAAGTGTGCGCGATAGTTTAATAGCGAATGCATACGAGCAATAGACTTATGATGGGTGTTTGAAAATGGCTCAATGACGAACCGAGAATTATTTTTAAAATGGTTTTGTCTACGCTAGTCCCTAAGGATGCTCCTAGAAGATAAACCGTAATCAAAGCAAATACGAATGCGTACATCAGAATGGGAGAGGGGTACATATAAGTTATACAAGATTGAAAGAAATAAAAGGGTTCATTGTAAGGTAGCCAAAGAGGAAGTCGTGTGTGTGCAACGTGTCCTAAACTATGCCTTGAGCAAGATTCGAATGAAAGCTCCAAGTTAGGGTTTCTGATAAAGTCCAATAATCCGTTGCTCGGAAAAGTAACCAACGGTCCCCCAATTTAGGCTTTTAGGGTTCAATCGTTATTAATGTATTTTGAAGAGTGTGAATGAGATATGAACAATATAAATATGAGTATGAACAATGTGAATAATATGGCAAGATATATAAAAATATAATCAAGATAATATTCACAATAATAATCAAGATGATATTAACAAGTATATGAACAAGATAATAAAAACAAGATATCTTGACTGAATATAAAACAAGAGTATATTGACAGAAACTAAAGTTAGTTCTTAGTTGTTGTGAATTGAATCAGGTCGAAATGTAGCGCTAAACCGTCATAACTCGATTTATGACGAATATCAAACTATAGGAGTTCGTGCAAGTTGATATTCGTGCTAAAAACACGATAGAGAAATGAAATTGAGGATCATTTTCGAATGTAATCGTGTCACACAAACAGAAAAGGCGACGATCTCGTCTTAATCACAAACTTGCATTGATTAATCGAAGGTAACCTATCACGATCCCATAGTATAGAAAGTGATCTCGATGATCACTCACTACATATTTGAAATAATGAAGGTTATCAAATCCAAAAATCGGCATTTATG